GCAGTGTGTGTGTGTGTGTGTGTGTGTGTGGTGGATATGCAGTGTGTGTGGTGTGTGGCATGTGATGGATATGCAGTGTGTGTGTGTGTGTGTGTCTGTGGTGTGTGGCGAGGTGGGCGGAGGTGCAGCTTCCCGGCGAAGGCCAGGTCTGCCTTAGGGCGTCGCAGCCATTGCGAGAACTAGGCTTTGGAGCCGGAAGAGCCCAGAGCAGAGTCTGGCTCCGGCCTTGCAAGCTGGGTGTGCTTCGGCAACTTTCATCGTCCCTCTGGGTGGCAGTTCTCTCACCTGTGGAGGGGGGCCAGCAGCCTTTGTGAGAGCCGCACTGTCGAGCGGGACTTCCCGCAATGATGAAAATACCATGTACTGCACTGGCCAATGCAGCAGCCACCAGCCACATGTGGCTATGCACACGTGGAACGTGGCCAGTGAGACTGAGAAACAGAATGTTTCTTTTTATTTAACTTCAATAAATTTAAGTCAGCCGGGTGTGAATTGTGGCTGCCATTTACAGGGCAAATGAAACAGTGATTAAGAAAGCTCAATGCAGAGCCAGACACCTGCTCTCTGTGCTGTCCCATTGCCACAAAGGCAAGCTGAAATTCTAGGAGCCCTGATTCAGGATCCTAATGAACATAACTAAACCACCACAATCCTCAAAGGTCAGACAATTTGCAGGCCAGGACCGTGAGGCACGGAGAGATCGGTGACACTCTGGTGAGACGCGCGTGGGACTCTGGCTCAGCGCTGCAGGCCGAGTGCGTCCAGGCCCAGGGCCGCGGGAGCTATCGTCTGCTGGAAGGCAGTGTGGGGTGGTGGGCCTGGGGCCTCAGCCAAACCCCTGGCCATAACGTCTCCCGGGAATGAGACCTTGACTTGAGTGTGTTACTTAACCCTTTAGGGCTTGATTTCCCTTGTGATGTTTAATAGTAGCACCTACTTGCTAGGGAAGGTGAATTATAAAAATTAATGTCTGTCAAGTGCTCAGACCAGAGTAAATGCTCAACAGGTGTCTGCCTGTGGTGGCGGTGGCAGGAACCCCTCAGTGCAGCGTGTGAATGCGGCGACGCCAGCTAGGGGACGGGTGCTGCGCTCCGGGAGGGGAGAGGCGGGCAGGGACCCCAGCCCAGCTCTTTCCTCCTGGACCTCATCTGCCATGGAACTGGAATTAGTCCGCCTGCCCGTTTTGCTCCAGAAATGGCCCCACAGGACACACCCTGACTCTGTTCCATATCTGTGTGTAGACACCTCCACAGGCATTTGAGATCAGGAAAACCAGGCCCTCTGTCAGGGCAAGTGGCATCCGTGTCACAGCTCGGTGCTCCCGGTTTAGAATCCTGATTCTTTCTGTCACAAGGACAGACTGAGAGCTTGGCTAGTTGTAATAAGATTAATCCTCTGTGGGGATGGCAGGCGCCCCTCCAACGCCCCTGAGCTGCCTTCCTTGTGTCTCTTTAGGCTCGAGCCTCCGTGGCCCCATCCTTGGGAGAAGCCAGCGCCAGCGCCATGAAGGGCATCCTTGTTGCTGCTGTCATCGCCGCGCTGGCCGTTGCAGCTGTAGGTGAGAGAAGCTGTGGCCCCCTTTGGGGTTGGAGACCCTTTTCTCCATCTCACCGGAGTCTTCCTGCTCTTAAAGCCCTGGGGACCTCTCCCGTGGCCTCTCCTGTCACCGTGGGTCAGGGGAGGGGAGGAGCCCGTCTGTGCACCATGCCTTCAGGGGTGGACCCTGCGTGGTCGGGGAAGGGCAAATAGCAGGGAGAGACTGATAGGGTGGCTCCATCTCATGGCACCAATTCTGGAGCTCCCCAGAGGGCAGGGGTGCCGTCCCATCTACGTCTTTTACCATAAGTGGGTGCGGTACTTAGCCCAGAGTCTGCTCTCTAAATGTCTACGGAATGTTAACCTATGTTGGACATCATGTCTCCCTAGAATCCATCAGCTGCGTGCAGTGTCACTCATGGGAAGACTCCTGTGTCGACGCCACTGTCTCCGACTGTCCTGCAGATGCCAACAACAGCTGTATCAACTCTGTAGCCAACTCCTCTCTAGGTGAGCCTGGTTGTGCACATCACCCTCGCCCCTGGGACTTACACTGGGCGGGCGCTGGAGAGGGTGGCCGAGAAGAAAGGCAGGCTGAGATGGGGCCAGGCCGTGCACGCAGAGAGAGGTCAGGAAGGTGGCTCCGGGGAGAAGCCATGCGTGGCCGAGGCAAGCAGGAGTCCAACAAGAATACATGGACAGAGCCAGGCAAGCAGACAGGCCCCTGTGGTGTCTTAGCTATTGCTGGCCTTCACTGAAGCCTCATGGCAGGTAGATGCACGCAAGCGGACGGGAGACGCGGGCGACGCCCAATTATACTCGCAGGCAGGTGATTGCCGTGGTGCTCGCCCCTCCCGTGGGCCCCTCCCGTGGGCTGGCTCTGTGTTCTCTCTCAGTCTCCTTCCTCTTCTGGGTCCAACAGTGTCATTCATGACTTCCCCACAGGGCGTTTTGATGCTCCCTCAACTGCAGCCTCTCTCTCAGCACTCTTAGAGCTCTTCTTACTTTTTTAACGGTCATGTTCAAGCACTTACGAGAGCAGGAAGAAGAGTGTAGCGCACTGCCATGTAGCCACTGCCCTACGTCAGCAGTTATCAGCATTCTGCTATTTTTTTGGCCTTGTTATTTTAAAGTAATTATATATATGTATATATAATCATACTATATATGTGTGTGTGTCATGCCATTTGTCATTTTCCCCATAAATATTTCACTATTCATCTCTGGTAAGAAAAAAACTGTTTTTGGCCGGGCTCGGTGGCTCATGTCCATAATTCCAGCACTCTGGGAGGCCGAGGCAGGAGGATCGCTTGAGCCCAGGAGTTGGAGGATGCAGTGAGCTGTGACAACTTCACGACACTCTAGCCCTGGGTGGCAGAGTGAGACTCTGCCTCAAAAATATTTTTTTTGTTTTTTTTTTTAGTTAACTATCATACTACTAAGGTTTGACTGTTCCCTCCAAAAGTTAGTGTTGGAATTCAACTGCTGCTGTGACGGTATTAAGAGGGGGACCATTAAGAGATGATTAGGCCATGAGGGGCCGCCCTCAAGAATGGGTTAACAGTGCTACCGTGCTGGCAGGTCCCTGGTGGGCGAGTCCCGCCCCTCTTGTCCTCGCCCACTCTCATCCTTTCCTGCCCTTCGGCCATGGGGTAAGGGGGCAAGAAGACCCTCACCGGAGGCTGGCACTTTGATATGTACTTCTCAGCCTCCAGAACTGTAAGAAATAAATGTTTTTCTTTCTCTCTCTCTCTTTTTTTTTTTTTTGAGACAGAGTCTCTACTCTGTTGCCTGAGGGCTAATTTTTCCATTTTTAGTAGAGCCGGGGTCTCGCTCTTGCTCAGGCTGGTCTTGAACTCCTGAGCTCAAGCGATCCTCCTGCCTCAGCCTCCCAGAGTGCAGGGATTACAGGCATGAGCCACTGCGCCTGGCCAATTTCTTTTCTTTATAAATTACCCAGCCTATGACATTCTGTTATAGCAACACAAAATGGACCAAGATGCACACTATTATCATACCTAAGAAAATTAACTTTAATTCTTTAATTTCTTCTAATACCCAGGCCATCTTAAAAATTTGTCAATTGTTTCAAAGATGTCAGGATACAGTTGATGTTGGGGACTAGGAGCCGAATAAACTGCCCGTGTTGCATTTTCCTGGTAGGCCTGTCAAGCCCAAGTTGTTCGATCACAGCTCCCATCGCCTTTTCTGTCCAGTCCCACTGGCCTGTCGGAGAGACGGGCCGTCTGTCCCGGAGGTGTCCCGCACTCCGGCTTTCCTTGATTGCCTCCTTGTGGTGTCCTCTGACCTGCTCCCCTGTTCCTGGTGTCGCCTGCAAACTGGCGCAATCTGTCCAGGGACACCGTCGTCGTCGGTGGCAGGAGTGTCAACACCCGCACCATCCTGCCCGGCAGGCACGTGTGGCCACTGAGCACTTGAAATGTGGCCAGTATGACCAAGGAGCTAAATTTTAAATTTTATTTCATTATAATTAACAAGATTTACACTTAAATACGCATATGTAGCTAGTGGCTATCGTATTAGGTAACTTTCTGGATTCAGGTTCAATTTCCAGGCGGAAACAGGCAGGTGGCGCGGCGGACGTCATGCCTCATGTCGGGCCACCGTGTCCGCTCGCCTGTGTTGCAGATGTTAAGGCTGGTTGACAGGCTTGGGGCTGTCAGCCTGAGCCACCCACGCCAGGCTCCCGTCGCCTTCCGCCTGCGTTTAACCTGTGTCTCTGATAGTCTCCTGCTGAAAGAAGGAGTCCCCTGCTGGAGAGGAATCTTTCTTTTTCCAAGAAACTCTCTCCAGGGCCTCCCCGATCGCCTTGACCTGAGGCCGCGTTTCCTGCCTCTGCACGAGGCAGGTGCTGTGCGGCGGCCCCACCCGCCCCACAGTCTGTCCTTGTCAGGGTCTGACTGTCTGTTTGGCTTTGTGTAGGGGCAGCTGTACACTTATACCAGGATATGTTCTGCTCAGCGGAAAACTGCAGTGCGGAGACAGACACGGTCACGGCCTTCGCCGTCCACGTGTCCGACAACGAAAGCTTCCAGTTTGCAAGCCAGTGCTGCCAAGAAGCGGGGTGCAACAGCGACAGCAGCAACCTGGGTGGGTGCTGGCGTGCGGTGCCTTTCTGTGTCCCCCCAGCCCTGCCCCTTCCTTTCCACCTGCGCTCCATCTCTAGGTGGACAGCTGCAGTGCAGGCCGTTCAGTGTGTGTCTGGGTGACAGTGACATCCGACTTACGGCGACCATGTACAAGACGGACGGCACAGACCCACACTCCCGCCATGCTGTCCCCCTTCCTCTGCAAAGACAGACGTTAAAGGCTCCTGATTGTGTGGGGCCTGTCGCTGCTCTTCGGTTCTCAAATCTTGTGATCTCAGGCCCTCTGTTAAGACTCCGAGTCTTAAAAATTACTGGGGACCCCAAAGGACTTTTGTGTGTGTGGACTCTATCAATATTTACTGTTTTTGACATTAAAGCTAAGAAAATTTAGAAATCTTAATTAGTTCACTCAAAGTAACAAAATAAACCCATTAAATGTTAACATTTCTGCATAGAAATAACTGTATTTTCCAAAACAAAAATAATTATTTAGTGAGAAGAGTAGCATTGGTATATATATTTTTACAAAGCTCTTTAGTTGCTGGCTTAGGAGAAGGCAGCAGGACTCTCACATTTGCTTAGGCATTTAGTCTGCCGCGGCCCTGCGCATCCGCCTCTGGACAACTCCACGGCAGGCTCGCCAGAGAAAGAGAGTGAAAGAGGCAAATAACATCTTAGTATTGTTATGAAAATTATTCTGACCTTATGGACTGCCTGAGAGGGTCTCAGGGACTCAGGGGTTCCTGGACCACAATTTGAGAACTGCTGATCTAGACCAAAGCTCTCTTTTTGAAGAAGAGAAAATGTGGCCAAAAAGGCAAAGTTTGTTGGCTGTGGTCATAAAACGCAGCTAATTAAGAACAGAGCTAGGTCTCAATATAATTTTTTTCTCCTAGTTGCAATGTTAAATAGTGGCCTGTGCTCATTTGTTCGGAGCAAGATTCAGTAACAGTCACGCACTGGTTGGCTGCAGTTCAGAATAGCTGGCTAACGTTGATGCCGACTGCAGGTCAGTTTTAGCTCGAAATCTCACTGTTCTCTCTCAGTCTGTACCCCAACACACTTATGGATCATAGTTCTTGAAAACTGGATGGTCTATAAGGGCCACCCCGTATAGAATAGGTCTGCAGGGTCATGTGGAGTAAATATCTGGGGGACACAGTGTCTTCAAGGCGGGATCTGAGATCCCAAAGATGCAATCGCTTCTTTCTCAGAACCCCTCCGATGGGTTCTTTGCTCGCCTTGTCCCTCCCCCCGGGGCGGTGCTGTGTTCTGTATGACGACATTGTCCTGAGTAATGATTCTTACTCTGCCCAGCCCCTCCACTGAGAAGCGTGGCCAGCGACACAGAGTGCGCTGCTTGTTATGGACCCAACGAGACGTCCTGTGTCGAGGGAGTCTACAGATGTTACGAAGGAGAACGGTGTGTCTCTCTCGTTGCAGAATTTACAAATGGTATGTCTTCAGTTCCAATTCCTTTATGGGACTTGAGTTGAAAACATGTCAAATCTTGGGTCATAAGTTCCGGGTTAACACAGAAGGGCTGGGGGAGGCTGGCGGGACAAGGTGGTAGGGCCAGAATGCCTTTGAAATGGAGAGGCCGTTGATACGGCCTTGAGCTGGTTATATTTCTGCCTTCTCAGTCCAGAGCCATTTCTCCTGGGCCATGCTCCTCTGGAGCCCTATTTCCCTGCGGCTTGTAACCAAGCCTCTCCTGGCATTCATTTCTTCATCAGGGTGCCAGCACTCTGTAGGTGAGGGTGGGTGTGACTTTTAATTCCTTTTATACCTGTTCTTTTCTTCTCAGTCACTCACTGAGAGGTGTTGGCTTATGGCAGCTTGGGAAAAAGAGCCCATTAGGGCTTTGAAGTCTAACCAATTGTCCTTTTCTATGAAAGCAATTCGATATTAACCATTAAAAAATACAAATTTCTAACATTTGCCTGAATAGTTAAAGAATAATACATTTGTTAGTTAGGGTAAATTAATCACTGCTAAAGAACAACCTCCAAAATCCTACGGCCAATGCAATAGATGTTTGTTTCTTGCTCATGGGGCAATTCATTGTAGATTCCAGACCATGGGCTCCGTCCGTCTTGCAGCTCTGGCCCGGCTCACCCGGGACTGGCAGCCTCTGCTGCACTCCCTGTGTCCCCCAGCAGCGGGGCAGCGAGTGGAGGGAGGCAGGAAGGTTTTTGCAGGTTATGCCTGGAAGTGACCTTCTGTGGGCCGGACCCAGTCCCTCAGCCACCCTGGGCTGCAAGGGAGGCTGGGAAGTGCAGAACAGTGGTGGCCCAGAAGGAAAGAAAGAGGCATGAAGCTAAAATGAACAACAGTCATTCTCTGCCAACATATGCCTCAGAATAATAAGAGTTTAAGAGCCCCAACACTCAGGTACAATTTGATTTCAGTTTTTGTTAAATGTCAATTATAGTATCAGAAATCAATGCCTAACTATAATTATGGATTTTTCAGTGGGGCCAAGCACCATGCTTATCCTGAACTTCTTTTTACTTTTTTTTTTAAATGAACTTTATTTTTTAGAGCAGTTTTAGATTCATAGCAAAATCGAGCAGAAGGTACAGAGAGTTCCCAGCTGTCCCCACAGACACAGTCCCCCCTTGTCAACACCGGCAGGGAGGGTCGCTGCTGCCGTGGGTGAGCCTGCTCCAGAGTCGCGGAGTGCCTCGCGGCTCGCTCTGGGCGTCGTGCATTCTGAGTTTGGACAAATGCGTAATGACACCGTATCCAACTTTGCGGTGGTGTCACACCGAGTATTTTCACTGCCCTAAAAATCCTCCGAGCCCTGCTTACTCTCCTTTCTCTGCCCCAACCCCTGGCGAGCACTGGCTGATCTTTCCCTGCCTCCACAGCTTGCATCTCCACGCTGCCCTGTCGCCACGATTACGCAGTGCGTGGTCCTTTCATAAGGGCTTCTTTCCCTTACTAATAAATATGCAGGCTCTTTTTACTTTTAAAACTTCTGGGATGTCTATGCTGCTATTATTTGGGTTCTAAAGCTGCGTACTAGGAAAATGGCATCAGAAGGACGTCTTCTCTGCTCACCTGTTCCCAGGTGTCTTCCCGTGTAAAGGATGAACTTTCCCCCCCATAGGGTTTGACTTAAGCTGAAAGCTGGACCGAACAAAGCCATCATCAGTGTAGGGTTTTTCTTGTTTGTCTTTGCCTAGGATCATTTTTTTTAATACCGTAGAGATGTGTCCAGCAACACATCTTTCTAATTCACTCTAACACGAGCGTCAGCCCTAATACTTGCTATAGAATAGCAATGAATTGCTTTCTTCTCTGGCATTTGGAGGTTTCTCACTTCGTTTCAGAGCAAGTTTAGAGTGAGCTTTGGACTGAGATGGCAGCCCTGCCTCTGACAAGTATCACGTGGAGTCGCTTCGCCTCCTTGAGCCCCGTGTCCTCCGCGAGCTGCCTGTGTCCCGGGGCTATCTGACTTGTAGCCAACACAGCAATAGGGCCGCACAGTAAAGCTCAGGCAAAGGCAGCTGCTACCGTAACCACATCTTCTTCGCAAACGCCATAGGCCTTTTTCTAGAAAGCCTGCACCTGAAAACATGCTCAAACACAACAGAACCAGGGTGAAGGGCAGGGACAGACACGGTCTCTCCACAGCCTCTCCGGCTGCTTCACCTCTCGTCAGGGAGAGCTCAGGCGGGGAGAACTCGGGGACAGAGAGGAGGGGGACCGAAAGCAGAGCCTGGAAGGTGAAGGGCAAGTCCAGGGGCTGACCTCCTTCTGGACTGGGAGCAGAGGCTGCCTGCTGAACCTGTCCCTGGCTGCTCCACCGGCCAGCGATGTGGGCACACAGCAGGTGTGAGCCCGAGGTCCAGCGCTGGCCCTCACCTTCCAGCTTGGGCTCGCCATGCACCTCCTGGGGCCTCAGGTTCCTTGGGGGTTGGGTGGAGGAGGTGGCCTGGGCCCAGGCCTCCATGGTCCGCTGCCATCACTGTTTGGAATCCCTGGCCCTGGGCTCCTTCCTCCTGTGTGGTTTTAGAGCAGACCAGGTCGCTGAGCCGCCACACTGCAGGCGAGGAGCCAGGAGCAGGCAGGGTAGAGGGTGAGGGCTGCTTGGAGTCCTCACTGTCCCCTTTGCATTCGCAGGCTCGGTGTCTGAGCTCCTCGTGCTGAAAGGCTGTTCAAACATCAGTGACTCCACCTGCCAGTTCTTGTCTGCTGAAAACAAGACAGTCGGAGGCGTCATCTTTCGGCAGTTTGAGTGTGCCATCTTATCCACCACATCGCCCACCACTACCAGCACGGGGTCCAAAGCCTCCCTCAGCTCCTTAGCGCTTGCCAGCCTCCCCCTGCTGGGTCTGCTGCTCTGAGGTTCCCGGGGGTGCCATCGCCCCTGCTGTCCCCACCCCCCCCCAACCACTCAGTGAGCGGGAGTCACAGGGCCTCCAGATACTGCCATGGCTGCCTTGTTCTCCATTATTAAAGTGCTGGTTCTCTCGCTGGCCAAATTGTCCTGTTACCTGAGGGTTGGGATTCCTTCGAGTCACTGTCCGGCACCATCTCCCACCCCCGCGCTGGGGGGCGCCCTTGCCATTGCAATGGGCGCAGTTTGTCTCTGGGCTCTGAAGACATCCCTGCTCCTGGCTCATCTTGATTCTGAAAAGCCGCCCTTTTGGCTTTGGGCATCTTCTGCTTTCAGCCCTGCATCTCTGGGGACCGACATGCCGCCCCCACATGCGGGGAATGCCCCAGTGGCAACACGGAAGCTTCTTCAGTCTTGGCCAGAATCTGGCTCTTCAACATTTGTCCCGGTTGTGGTCAGAGGCTCACAGTGAGTGAAGAAACAAGAACATCATCTCAGGGTCCTATCACCACGGGGGGCCAAAGAAGGTGCGGAGAAGCTGCTGAAGGCCAGCGTCCTCCCACTGCCGAACTTCCCCAGGCAGAGACGTGATGGAGCCATTGGGCACCCAGCAAACCCGAGAAGGTTTCCCCAGAGCCCTGCGCAGAGTGGAACGTGGCTACAGAGCCCTAGTGCCTCCGTTCTGAGAACTTCCAATCAGACACAGAGCTGTCGACTCCATTCAAATACTCAGGGAGCACGGAAGCCATTCGGTCCAATGTGCACAGGGGTCTGGCTTTAGTCAGTGAAGTGGGCCTTGAGCTGGACTCAGAAGAATGGGGTTTGCTGTAATAATTTTAAAGTGTGAGCCGATGCAGGTCTGTACTGTCCAGGATTGCTGACGATGCGTCAATAGCAAAGCCAACATAAAGGCCATCTCATTACCACATTCACTCTTACTTATTTATTTTGGATTTTTATTTTGGAATGTAGTTCTAGACTTACTGAAAACTTGCAAAAATAGTGCAGAGAATTCCAGTATCCTCCTCGCCCAGCTCCTCCTCATGTTCACATCTTGCACAACCGCAACACGGTCACTGAAACCAGGAAACGAACCGTGAAAAAACATTGTTAACTAACGACTTCATTTGCTTTTCATTAATTTTTACTAATGTCCTTTTTCTGGTCCAGGATCCAAGTTTTTGCATCTAATTGTCATGTCTTCTCAGTCTCCTTCAATCTGTGACGGTTCTGGAATCTATCTTTCAAGAACTTGATAATTAATATTGGCCAGTTATTTTGTAAAATAGCTCTCAATTTGAGCTCGTCTGAAGTTTTCTTGTGATAAGATTGAGGCTGTGCATTTCTGACGAGAATGCGACGGCTGCGCCGTGCCCTCCTTCAGCGCATCTTACCAGGTGGCACAATGTCCGTGCACCATGTTATCGGTGATATTGGACTTGGTTATGGCTGGTATCTGCCAGGTTTCTCCTCTGTGCAGTTACTAGTACTTTTTAATCTCTCTCTCTCTCTTTTTTTTAATTTAGAGACTGGGTCTTGCTCTGTTGTTGCCCAGCTGGAGTGCAGTGGCGTGATCATAGCTCACTGTAGCCTCAAACTCCTGGGCTTAGGTGATCCTCTTGTCTCAGCCTCCCAAAGTGCTGGTATTACAGGTGTGAGCCACTGTGCCCAGCTACTTTTTAAAATAATAGGCTAGGTTGTGCTGTTACAACAAATAGACCTTAGTAAAAAAAAAAAACAAAAAAAAAACAAACAAAGTCCATGTATGTGTTCCTGGTTGGGCAGCTGTCCTGGGAAGCTCTCCTCCAAGAGAAAGGAAGGGGCCAGGCTCCTTCTGTTCCGTGGTTCTGCCACCCTGCGTGCCTCCGTAGACTCACAGGTACGTGTGTAGCCAGCTGACAAAGTTAGAGAGAGAGAGCCCAGAGCAGGGGTGGGAACCTGCAGCCTTAAGGCCGTATGTGGCCTTCTAGGTCCTTAAGCGTGGCCTTTTGACTAAATCCAAATTTTACAAAACAAATCCTTTTATTTTTATTAATACATTTTTGTTTGTCTTTTATATTTTTGTGTTATTTTAAAAATGAACATATTTAAGATACCAAAGAATAAAATAAGTTTCAACAAAATAATCCTCCCAGATTAACCAGCACAGTTAGAACATTAGTAGCCATAAGGGCTACATTGACAGCTGCTACGCTCATTATTGAGTTCTAACTTCCCCCTCCTGACTGGCACCACCACTGCACAAGGTTAGTTGGCGAGAGTTTATGGGAGTTATGGGGGTCAAGTATGCCAGTCTGTTATTAGCTTTTGACAATGGTGCACTGTGTTTCTGTTTGAAGTGGAATTTGTGAATAGTTGCACAGCTCGACAGTATTTTTTAATTCTGTCTGCTTAACAGCCCATCATGTCAAAGAAGACCAAGAGAACACTGAAAGAAGAAAATATATTTTTTAATGAGGATTGGGAATGGGAATATTATCATTTCTGCTAAAGATGAGATGATTTGCTTGCTTTGTGATACTGCAATATCAACATTAAAGAAATTCAGGCGGGTCGCGGTGGCTCATGCCTGTAATCCTAGCACTCTGGGAGGCCGAGGC